TTAAGCTTTTGTTTAATTACTATCAAACATATTAGATTTTAGGTTTAACCATCATAATTTGTATATGTTTTTCATTAATTTTAAAGTTGATTAGAATTTAAAAGACTTTTTTATAAATAAAAAAGTTCAACATCAAAATCGTGTAAACCCATTTTCTACACCAAATTTGGTGTAAAAAATGAGTTTACACCATTTTGGTGTTAAAAATAGTGTTGGGTTGGAGAGGGTTTTACACAAAAAAATAGGTTTGGTGTACCATTGGAGATGCTCTAAGAGTACCTCCATCGCTCAATAAACTTTCTCATGTTATATTATTGTATAATTTACTAGATTAGGATCCGCGTTGATACGCAGATAAACACATTAAAAATTAGTAATATCAAAAGTTAAGTTTTAATTAATAACCTATTAAATTATGAAAATATTTTAAAATATTTAAACATGTATCTTAAACTATAAGAGTTTAATTTATATCTTAATTCTCATATCCTTATTCATATTATGTAGAACTAAAAATATATTTATACGTAAATAAAATTTAAATCATATTCTTAATAACAAAAATAATATATTCTTACACATTATGAATTTATATTAAATATATGATAAAATCTTATAACAATTAAAATAGTATAAAGTTTTATCTTAAAACAATAAATTTATGTGAATAATCTCATAAAAAATATAAAAAATATTTTATAAATAGTTTTATCAAGCATTATATATAAATCTATGATTGATAAATGTCATTGATGTCATCGGTTCATTTTCATAGAGATATATACTCGTCAAATCTCACACTTTTCGATCTTAACATTAAATATATTATAACATGTATAAATTTTTATTTTATATAATTTCCTCAATATTACACACATGTCACGATCTGGTGAGTTATAAATTTTGCTTACGTGTCATGTTCTTACCTTGCGCATCTTTCTTTATATAAAAAGATATTAATAATAATAATATAGTTTAATTATTTATTTAAGTTTTAAATTATTAAACAAAACATAGTTAATCATAGTAATTCATATCTGAAATAGTTCTCTTCAAAAAAATGTTAGAGGTTCTCAAAGGAGAATGGGACAATTACAAAAATGTCACTTTTTGTGTGCACATTTGCAAGAACGCCACTTAGGAGTGTCCATTTACAAAAATACCACTAATTATAAATTTATAGAGCATATATCTTAAAATTCAAAACCCTAAAACATGTTTTGACATCTAAACCCCCTAAACACTTAAAACTAAACCCT